CACAATTTCATTTCCTACCAAAATCTTGCAAAAGAAAGGTATTTGTTTCAATAAACACTACTCTATTTTAAAACAATTTATATTGGAGTAAAATATACATTACATAAAATTTTCCATTTTAACCATTTTTTTTTGGGGGGGGTGCTGGGGATAGAACCTAGGAGGGCTCTACCACTGAACTACATCTCCAGTCCTCTTTGTATTTTATTTTGAGACAAAGTCTCACCAAGTTGCTAAGGATCTCACTAAGTTGCCCCAGCTGTCCTCAAACTTGTGATCCTCCTGACTCCTGAGTCACTGAGATTACAAGAATGTGCTACTGTGCCTTACTATTTTAAGCATTTTAAAGTGTACAATTCAAGTTAGTGGTATTAAGTACATTCACAATATTGTGCAATCATCACCACTATTTCCAAAACTTTTTAATGACCCCATTAAATTAACTTTAAAGGATAATTGCTGTATCCTTTAAGCAATAATTTCTACTTCCACTCCTGTTACCCTCTAATCTACTTTCTGTCTCTATGGATTTGCCTGTTTTACATATTTCATGTGGATGAAATCACAATATTTGATTATTTTGTGCTTGGTTTATTTTACTACACATATTTTCAAGGTTTATCCATCTTTCATCGTTATATTGGTATGGCATTCTTTTTATATTGGAATACTATTCATGGTATTGCTATACCACATGTTGTTTATCATCCACATTGATGGATAATTGTTTTTCACTTCACTTTTTGTTTTTGACTTCACTTTTTGTTTATAGCAAATGCACTAGTATGAATGAACACGTATTTTGGAGTCTCTGCTTCCAATACTTTGGAGGCATATACCTGGAAGAAATGTTGGGCCAAATGTAAATATTGTTTAAATTTTGAGAAACTGCCAAACTGTTTTCTAAAGTGGTTGCACCATTTCACATTCTCACCAACAAGTAATCACTTTTAAACATTAAACATTTACATTAGACATTTAAACCACTTTAAAACATTAAACATTTTCCAAAACTTTCAAAGTAAAACACTTAATTCTAGAACTATTGGAAAGTACAGGAGGAAAATGTATAATCCTACTGCATAAAGGTAATAACTGTTAAGGTTTTAATTTCTTTTTGTCTTTAATTTCTTTTTGTGTGTGTGGGTGTGTTTGTGTAGAACTGGGGATTTAATCCAGGGCCATTCTACCAGTGAGCTACACTCCCAGCCTTTTTTTTTTTTTTAAATACCTTCATTTTATTTATTTATTTTTATGTGGTGCTGAGGATCAAACCCAGGACCTCGCATGCACTAGGTGAGTGCTCTACCGCTGAGCCACAACCCAGCGCCCCCCCACCCCCCAGCCCTTTTTCATTTGTATTTTGAGACAGGATTTGCTAAATTGTTGAGGCTGGCCTTGAATTTGCTATCTTCCTGTCTCAGCCCCCTGAGTTGTTGGGATTACAGGCCTGTGCCACTGTGTCTATTATCTATGCTTTTTTTCTCTCCATTTGCATAGTAGATATCAAATTTTATATTGCAGTTTTGTGATCTGAATTTTCCACTTAATATTCTAACATTAGTACTACTTTATCTTATCAAAACTCTTCAAAATATCAAATACTATCACTTTCTCATTCCTTTTTCTTGAAAAAATATTAAACCAGAATTTTTGAGCCAAAGGCACCATTCCAATGTTTGCTTCCACTCATGGGATGACATTCCCACAGATTTGAGCTGTGATCAATCCTTTAGGTTCAATGCCCAGTGTTCTGGTTGGCTGTGAGCTGACTTCTTGCTATCCTCTCTCATGGTACCACAATGGGCTACAAATTCAGACATCTTGGAGACAGATAATTAAGGACTAAAGAATGACACTGATTTAGGCTAGCTTTAAGAAATGTCCTTTTTAGTAAAATAAAAGTCAAGGGTTTTGAAAGGAAACACTGTCACTAAGGGCACTGGGGATGGCTGCTTCTATACTCTTTAGGCAGGGTCAATCAAATCCAGAGTGTATGAATAGACTTCAAAGGAGCAGTGAGCCCCCAAACTGCACCAGTGAATGTGTAGGTAGATGTTTCTGAGAAGGTGATTTTTAGTTTTCATCAACTTCTTCTTGGGCCCTATGACCCTGGCCTGGGGTACCTATTTGCTTCTGTTAGTTGAGGTAGCTCCTCTTCTAACAGGCTGCTATGCTAGGGCCAGGGCAACTGCTCCCTTCCCACTTTCTAGCAGCATTGCTACTGGTCATTTCCTGAACAGGGAAGGTATGTAGGGATAGACTGGAAGAAGCTGCCCAGCTCCAGAGAAGCCTTACCCCTATCTTTCTTGTATGTAGGTTGGAACATAGGACTGAAGTTAGGAATGGTCTATGTGACTTGATAATATGGGCAGGTCCAAGGACATGGAGGCCAAGCTTTGGGATGCTAGCCAATGGGTTCCCTCAAGTTGGCAAGGAATATGGGTTTTTTTTTCTTGCACAGAGCTGAACTGGGCAGCAGGGTAGGGTGGCTAGTTGTTCTTCCTTCTAATGGGTCTTGGTCTTGTCTCAATGACAGAGTTCTTGAACCTGTTGGTTTTGACGCCAAGTGCGAGAAAATCTTTCACAAGTCGAACTGCAGCTATACTGTGGAGGAGAAGAACAACCCAGGAAAGCCCTGCTCTGTTAACACTTGGGTAGTATAATATTCTTCTAATGCTCCAAGCCTGTCAGGGCCCAGGCCCTTCCAGGATAGGCCTCATTCACCTATGGCCTCTAATAGCCTGTGATTTCCTAGCCCTACCAATCAATAAAAAAATATTTTGAGCAAACACTTGTATTGTTTTCACTGATTTAATATGTATTATAAAGCATACAAATATTCAAAGGAGCTAAAAATAAATCAAGTAAAAGTTGTATTTGTCTTACACTCCAATTGGTCATCAGGCATATTCTTCTAGGTGGACCACTGCCACTTTTGCCATTTCTGATATATTACTATTCTGCTGCCTGTGTCTATTACCTGGTGGATGGAGGGAAAAACAACAATAAATATGTCTTTGAGATGAAATCCAATTCTTTAGAGGTGTTCATGTTTATCTTCTGTCTTCTTGTTTAGGCAGTGCCTTCGCTGTTGTTCCACATCCCTCTGTGTTTGCCTAAGATTAGAGCAAGGTAGCAGGAAGTGCCCTCCTGACCCTGGGGCAGTCTGACAGGGAATTCAAAGGCCTAGGCGCTGTCTGGGTGGTGGAGAATGGCCAGGTCGATGGACTCCAGGATCAGTTATCAATTGCTGCATACATACCACCCAAAATGGAGTGACTTGAAACATTGGTTCTCTTTACAGTTTCTGTGGCAGAGAATTTGTGTTTACTCAACACTGTGCTGACTGCCTGGGCCAGACATTGTGCTGGGCCTGGGGATAGAGAAGTGAATCAGAGAGATCAAGCCCCTGCTCTCCCACGGCTTGGAGTACACATCACAGATCACAAACAAGCACATCCATTGCTAAATAACCCATGAGAAATTGATAAAGAGCTGTATTTCCCCTACCCCTGATCCAGTCTGTTCAAACATGTGGATCTATTGAGCAATCTAGGCAGTTCCCCTTGGCTTTTTCCACACTCTTGAGTAATAAGAAATTGCTTTGGTTCCTTTAGTTACATAAAAATCTCATTCCAGAGTCAGCATTTTCATTGAAGACAGAGTGGGGGACAGGAGAACAAAGGGCACAATGTACTCTTGGCTGCTTTTGCTGAAGAGGTGATCAAGGCTGGCTTCTTCTTGGAGCTTTTTGCATCAATGTGCCCAGTTCAGAAAGAGTTTCATTTTGCTGGGTGTGGTGTTGCACATTTATCATCCCAGGGACTTGGGAGGCAGAGGCAGGAGGACTGGAAGTTTAAGGCCAGACGGGGTGAATTGGTGAGACCCTGTCTCAAAATGAGAAGTAAAAGAGGTCTGGGGATATAGCTCAGTGGTAAAGCATCCCCAGATTTGATTCTCAGTACCCCCCACCCCATCTTAGTTTAACATCTGGTCACAAATCAACAGGAGTTGGGAGTATAGCTCAGTGGTAGAAAACTTAATATGTACAAGGCTCGGCACTGACATTGGGAGAAATATGAAGAAGGTATTGCAATGGTGGATGTGAAGAATTGCGTGCTATGATACAGTGCAAACAATCTTATATTTTGGAGTCAGATGATATAGAATCTGGGCTGACACTTATTTATTCAGTTCTTTTAAAAAAAATTGTGACAAAATTTACATAACATAAAATGCATCATTTAAACCATTTTTAAAGTATGTTCAGTAACATCAACTATATTCATAGTGCTGTGCAACCATCACCTCCATCCAGCTTCAGAACTTCCCATCATTCCAAACTGAAACTCTAAACCTATTAAACAATAAGTCTACAAAACTACCTGCTCTGTCCATCCCTGGCAAACAACATTGTCTTTCTGTGTCTAAGTATTTGACTACTCTATTAGTGGGCACCACAGTAGAGTTGATAGGAGGAATAAATTATAATGCCCTATAACATAGTAGGACAACTGTGGTTGACAATAACTAATTGAATATTTCAAAATAGCTAGTAGAGAGCATTTTCAATATTCCCACCAAAAAAATGATGTTTTAGGTGACAGATATGCCAATCACTCTGATCTAATCATCACACATTGTATATATGTATTGCAAGATCACGCCGTACGCCATAAATATGTATAATAACTATGCATCAGTTAAAATTAGAATATGTTTGAAAAAAGAATTTGACTAATTACAGCATAGAAAGTGGAATTATACGCTATATATTTTTTTGTGTCTGCTGACATTTATATTTACATCTGAACGTCAAATATAAATAATATCTATCTTGTGGGGACATTTGGTGTTAGAGAATCACTTAGCATAGTTCTCTACATAGCATTTATCTTCAAAAATGTTTGCTTCATTTAACTTGATGTATTCGCTAGAGGTGAAAAGGACACTGATCAAGGGCAGGGAAAAGAGTGTGCCTGCACTCTATACCCTCTAGAGGGCAGGCAAGAGCTTTGCGCTGACCCGAGCAGAGGTCTCGCGAGACTGTCAGAAGCGTGGCGAGAGGCGTGGGAGGAAGGTCGTGTTCTCGCGAGAACTCTGCCTTTGGGCCCAAGACTTGTGTCCGCTGGTGTCAGTCCAACCAGGGTACCCTCGGGTCGTCCGGAGAACCTCTCCGAACTGGTAAGAACTGGAATAACTGGCTGGGCGCGCAAGTCTCCTCCAGTTCTAACTCCGCGAGCCCAGCGGAAGCCGGATGGTAGCTGGCGTGCTGGGCCTGGGTCTACCCTTCCTGGTCGCCCTTTCCTTCCGCACGCCGGTCTCGGGCCTGTCTTCTCCCTTCTGGACACGCAGGGTCACTGACCACCTCATTCTGCCTGCCCGCGGGCTAAGCCTGACCTCCTCTCGCAGACCTTAGACTCGCCGGGCCCCGGAGCCACCTCCTTCTGGCTGCCAGTTGGCTGGGCCTGATCTCTCCCAGACTCTCCACTAGCTGGTCCCGGGACCACCTCGTCTTGCTTGCTCGCGGGCTCCCAAATCCTTGATATGTCAAGTCGGCCACCTCCTCCTCCCCGCCCGCGGGTTAGTTCTGTTCTCTCCCAAACCCTCGACCCATCCGGCCCCAAGGCCTCCACTTCTTGTGAGGCAAGGGCTTGTCTTCTTCCCTCCCATCCACACGTGGACCTCGCGGTTACCACCCGCAGCCAGGAGGCAGGGAAGATTTGTTTCCCCCTCCCTTTCCCTACAGACACTCCTGGCCGCAGGGATCCACCATCTGTTCCTGCTGGGTCGCTTTACCCCAGCTTCAAGTGTGACCAGGCGGGACCTGTTTTCTATGCCAGAGCGCATCCATTCCCAAGGGATTGTCAGGTGGAAACGCAAAAAATGTGGCCCTATAAGTGCAGCACACAGTGTTACTTAACATTCAAATAATCCCAATAATCTGGAAAAGTAGCCTGATTATCTTCCTTTTACAGATGAGAAGTTGCTCATTCATGATTCATAATACTGGCAATCATTTATTCAGTGACTTTATGCTGAAGGTATTACAGATATAGAAATGGGGAGGGGGAAGGACACACTTCTCGCTTCGATAGAACTAAATTTTTGTGATGGGAACAACAATAATATAGTCTTAAGTGCCATGGGATATGACAGGGGAAGATATGATCAAGAATGACTCAAGTCAGGGGCTGGGGTTGTGGCTCAGTGGTAGAGTGCTTGCCTAGCACATGTGAGGCACTGGGTTTGATCCTCAGCACCACATAAAATAAATAAATAAAATGAAGGTATTGTGTCCATCTACAACTAAAAATAAAAAAGAATGACGGAAGTCAGTGTCTGACCCCAAGGGCAGAGCTTTCTTTACCGGGCCATTTCTGTTGTTGTTGTTATTGTTTTCTAGTTAGATAAGATTGACTATCATAACTACTTTCGGATGTACTTAATTTTCTACCATCTATTTGATAATTTGGAATATGTAGGACTCTTGAGTTACCACCTTGAGTAAGGATGGGACAGGTTCATAGTTGACTCACTTCTGCAGTGGAATCCTAGTGTGACATTTCTGAACTTTAAAGTACATCAGAATTGTGAAAGAAAACTTACCTTGCTGCTTCAGTGAAGGGAGATTCGTTTACTATCTGTGGTCAGAGGAGTAACTTAATTTGCTCTTTGCCTTTTTTTTGTGGGGGGGATGGGGGATACTGGGGATCAAATCCAGGGGTGCTTTTCTATAGAGCTTCCCATCCTTTTTTTATTTTTTATTTTGAAACAGGGTCTTACTGAGTTGCTGAGGCTGGCCTCAAGCTTCCTATCCCCCTGCCTTAGCCTCCTGATTGCTGGGATTGCAGGCTTGTGCCACTGGACTTTGCTCCAAAGATTTGCTCTTTTAAGGATTTGCTCACTTGTATAATTGTTCAGATAAGTAAACGTGTAAAGTCTAGCACAGTAACATTCCTTACATTTTATTTCTCTTTCCCCTCTTCCATAGAGCCTTTGCCCTTGGGTCTCTAGAGGATATTCTAGCTGTTCAAAGTTTTATTATAGTTTGTGTATCAACGAATCTCTATAATTACATTATTCCCTTTGGGAAAAGAATTATTTCAAAAGTAGAAAATCAAATTGAACTATGTAAGGAAAGAAAAGGAAGATGTGTTTCTTAAAGCGGGAGGGGATGTATCTTAAAATTACACAGGACGGTATACTCTTACCCCCATTTTATTATATCAGCACAGTTGTCGGGGAATCTCTAGAACCTCTGAAGGGGTTTCATAAAACTCCATAGGCTATTTCTGATACATAGCCCTTCCTCCATTTGAGAGTCTCTTGGTTATTGTTTTCTAATACTTTCCTACATGGTGTTAACATACTGGAAGGCATTCAGAGCCAGTTGCTGCTGCTACTGATAGACTTTTAACCCTTAATCATTATTTCAAAGAATTAGTATTTTTTGTTTATTGTTGGTAAGTCCCTGATACAAATTCTTCTCTAAGTGGCAAGTTCATGTACCCTTAGGGAACACAGACCAAGGTAGTTTAGGCACTTAGATACTTGTTGAATGAATATATAAAACCTTAATACTTAAATGATCTCTTTAAAATAGCAGGTGTGGCTGAGGGTGTTAGACCTGGGATTAAATCTTGGCTCCTCTAGTTGGAAGGTTGTGACTGCAGGTAATATATTTAACCTTTTCAGTTTCATTTTTTTAAAATGATTATAATACTCACCCTAAAGTGTTGTGAGGACTAAATGAGATAAAGTGTAAAAAATTGAAAAGGCTTTTCACAAAATGGCTATAGGTAAATCCTGAATTCATTCATGCAGCAAATACTTCTGGAATACCAAGTGTACAACAGTAAACAAAGAGACAAAGTTCTTGGTTCTGTGGAATTTACCATCTAGTGTTTTCCAAAGGAGGGTCAGAAAATAAATGGTTTCTACATGTCAGATGGTGATAAGTACAGTGGAGAATAATAAAGCATATGAAGGGGTTGTGGACAGAAGTCTTTTTAAAGTATAGGATGGTGAGGAATGGCCTGAGAAGATGACCCTTGAGCAGACCCCTGAAGGAAATAAAGGCTTGGTCTTGAGGATATCTGGAGGAGAGTTCAGTGGTCCTATGGTAGAAGCAACCTTGTTGTGGAAGAGCAGCAAGGAAGGGAACTGGAGTGGAGGAGTGGGGAGCAGTCATGAATGTTTCTGCAGGAATCCCAGAGAGATGATGGTGGCATATTAAATTGATGCTAAGTACATAATAAAATGTCTTCATTATCATATTGCATTCTCTGACTAAAAGTAATAAAGATAGTTAATGCCCATGTAGCTCCTACTATGTGTCAGGCACTATTCTAAATACTTTACTTGTGTTAGTCATTAACTCTTTCCAAAAAAGTATACTCAGCTTCAGAGAACAGAGACTTGTCACTATTCAATACATACCTGGAATATATTACTGATTCAGATGTGTATTTACCAAGCCACCAATGACAATAGGGGTGAATTTAGGGCCCCAACCACATACTGGTTAACTTCAAAAGTCAGGCCTTATGTGACTATAAGTGCCTATAAAAAGGAACCAGCTAATAGGTATACATTGGGTTCAGTTCAGTTTCATGAGAGAATTGTAGATATCCATGACATTTTTATTACTTTTCCTGTGACTTTTTAGCCCTTCCAAAATTTTTGTCCAAGGTTTCCATTTTGGCTTTGTTTTCATTATTGGAAAATATATTACTTAAGCAGAGAATGCATATGTACAATGTGGACGCTTAGCCCGTAAGGAGGCCATGTTGACCACTTTTGCTTTGGTGAGTAGCAATAGTACTGTATCTCTATGTTGTCAGTTACAGGAGCTGCCATATAATTTTTCTCAGCTTGTCTTCTTTGATTCTTGAATCATAATATTATAGTGGTCATTTATAAACTTACAGTCAATCCTACAATAACTCAAATCCCAAATATGTCATACACATTCCCTAAATTAGATAGATTACCTGGCAAGTGAACAAAGTAATTATTTTGAGGGTGTTCCTTTTACTTAACTTCTGGCATAAATGACTCATTGAATGCTTTTAGCCATTCTTATCTCAAGTTGTCATTCTGATTTCACTTGACTTGATTATTCAGTTGAATCAAGCTGTTCCTTAGGGGGCTAGGAGTGTGTTTGGGGACACTATTGAGTCTTAAGATTCCTCTTACCTAGCATTACGTTAAAAGTGGTCTACAAATGTGACAATTTAGTTTTGTGATGGAGTAAAAAACTGACAAAATAGGATAAAAGGTTTTTGCTTGATTGTCAGTTTAGTCATAGGTAAAAAGCTAAGTCTTAACACTGGCCAATTACAGCTTTCAAGAGAACATAATATCAGTTGTGTTTTGTCTTATTTTGACATTATTGCTAGTCACCCACTTGTTTGCTTCTGTGGGGGAAAACCACAAGATATTTATCGTATTTACAAGGGATAAAATGATATTATTTTTATGATGATAGTAAGTAACATGTTTTCCTATCCATGACTATTTTAGGGAAAGGAGTTTCAAACTGAAGACAGGACACCACCCCTATTCTAAAAGCTAATCAAACTTTTGTTAATGTCCTGAGGATTTTCTGTGGTAATGCAAAGTCTGAGGGGAGAAAATTCAAGTTGGCTCTAAATACAGTAAATGTTTCCCTTTAACTTACAAACCTGTTGCCATTTGTGAATCTGTGGAGCTGACCTTGAGTCTGGCCTGAAAGACTGTTTTAGCAACTATTGTGGGATTGTGGTTTCAGTGTCAACTTGCCAGTTTTGTTTGAAAAAGGTAAATAATATTTGTGCTAAAAACATTTTTCCTTTTCTGAAAAACATTTTTAAATTAATATTATAGGCCTCAGTGGGACAGATTATGTTTGAAACAGAAATATACTATACTTTTAAAAAAAGTATAGATGGACACAGTACCTTTATTATATTTATTTATTCTTCTGTTTTGAGGCTCAAATCCAGTGTCTCACACATACTAGACAAGTGCTCTGCCACTGAACTACAGCCCCAGTCCTATACTGAACTTTATAGTGCCTGATCTGAACTTGAGCATTCATTTAGCATTTATTCATCCATTCATGAATCAAAATGTAGTGAGCTTTATTGAGTTCAGGGCTAATAGTTGTACACCATTCTTTTTAGTTCGATTCAGTAGTT